CTTGTGCGGCTGCTGCTGATCTCTGTCCTGTTTGCTCATCCTTTTGAGGCATTGCTTTCCTTGTACTGATTTCTGCTGATCCTAAGATTCCCTGAAATGAGGAGTGGGAGGTCAGGAAGATGATGTATTTTTAAAGCACGCATCTGAAATGCTTCTGTCCTCTCTCTTTAGCAATATGTCAGCCCAAGCACATGAACTGGTGGAGCTAATGAGAAGCAGCTCGGTGAGTGGAACTTGGGCCACCCCTCAGTGCTCCCATGGTCTCTGGGAGATGACTTTAATTGATGGGATGCTTGAGTAGTGATGGAAGAAAAGTCAGTGTCCTTGTCTCTGGTGTGCTTTCCAGGATGGTTGTGCCAGGGATTAGCCTTTAGGAGATAATTTGCCTACAGAAATCCATGTAGGTAGGTGCAAACACACAGGCAGAGAATAATGCAGGATGCAGTGCAGCCAGAATGATAGTGAGAAAAGGAGAAATCGGAAGGTTATAGGAGTGTGACAGGACTGCTTTAGTTGAGCAGCACCATTCAAAGTGGAGGTTGTAAAGGCTGAGTATAAAACTGCTGGAGCAGGCACCTAGTGACCAACATGAATTACACTGTTCACTCTTGGGTCTGGGAAATGGCAATATTGGGAAGGGGGACAACTGAAGTCTTCCCAGGAGACTAGGCCCTCTAGCTCTGAACAGGCAAGTGATTGACCAGTGGCCAGAAACCTCAGAGTTGGATGAATCCCTATCACACCACAATTAGTAGGGAGGGGATGTAGCATTGAGGGCAGCTCCACTGAGGGCTACAAAGGGCACTAAAAGGATGATTCACTTTTAGTTCAGTGGCTGCTGCTGCATTTTGGGGTGGGGGAAGGATATCTGGGAGAAAACTAAGGCTGAGCCGTTCCAAGTGTTGGCTGAATTTGAGCAGATGACTGTCTGGTTGTGAGCTGTTGGTTCAGGGAGAGCACCCTGTGAGGGAATGAGAGTGCCTGGTGCTCCTTGGCTCAGGCTGAATGGGAAAGGAAGGTACTGAATAAGCAGGATTTGTCAAAGCATGTGTCTCTCTGTGCCAGCACTCTTGATGGATGCTGCATGCTCACCCCACTGTCAGTTATTCTGTGTTACCAATTGTCTGGCAGAGTGAAGGGAACTGGCATGGCTCTTCAATAAAATAGTATGTGGCTCTAGACCTTTGTTTTATTCACTGCTTTTTATTCATCTTTTAAAAATGGGAGAGGGGGAAGTCCCTGCCACGTTTTGCCTCTTCATGAAAGGCTTTCCGAGCAAAGTGCGGGTTAAGGAGCAGAATTCAGACCTGTGGGTGATTCCCAGGCCCTCCCTCTATTTGTGGGATCCTTTTGCAGATGTTTGTTATGTAAATGCACTACACTAAAAATAGTTGCCTTTGATTCCTTTCTTTGTACTAAATGTTACAAAATGTTTTGAGGAGATCCAGCTCTCAGCAGTGCCTATTGTTAGCTTGCGGTGACGTGGATGCTGCAGCTGCCCTTATATGAGCTCAGTGAAGTCACCAGCCTCCTGGACTCTTCTATTTTAATCCAGCTGTCTGCTCCCTCGGGCACCCCTCGCCCCTCCTGCCCATGGGGTAATACTTGCCCAGCTGGCAGGGATCTCCAGCAACTCCAGTTCCACAGCTCCATGAGTCACTCCAGCATCCACTCCCACAGTGCACCATCCCCACGCTGCCTCCAGTGTTCAGCCACAACCGGCAAATCTCCCCCGTCCACCCTTGTCCTGAAGCTAACATTCATTTAGGGATGCTTGCTGCCACAGACACATTTCCATGGTTGGCTACCTGGACAGATTTCATCTGCTAAAGGGAATTTCGTTACAGAAGCCAAGGTGAATTGCAGCTGGACTAGCAAACAGTCCACATTTTCCCTTTGGACAGATGCTTTTCTTTTGCCAGCTGAACTCAGCATATCCTTTCTTTGTGCTGCCATGCTGTCTGTAGCCATTTGTGAATGTGACCTCTGCATGCCTAAGCAATGGATGCTGCAATCTGTTTATTTTATGTGCCACTAGAAAATTAACTTCAGGGAAGACTGGAAGCTGATCACCGTCCTTGTTGGAGGCAACGACTTATGCCAGTACTGCTTGGACAAGGTTTGTATCTCTGAATTAGGCATGCTCATCCAGGCACTTGGCAAGTGACCAACCCTGGAAATACAACCTTTCTCTCTCAGTGAGCCAAAGTTCCTCTTTGTTTAAAAAGAACTTAGAAGTCCTGTTCCTTTCATCTGTGTTGTATCAGAAACAAGTGCACAGCTTTTAATATTGGAGCACTGTAGCTCTGGAGTCACATGCGTTATTTAAAAACCAGCAGCCTGCCCCACACCGAACAAAACACCAAAGACAAACTGTAGAGCTCTCCCAGCTTACCTGGACAAAGCAATCAAGGCAGCGTGATGTCTTAGGGATGTTGTTAAGGGGACACAAGCGAAGTTTTATTCTGGAAAGTGTCTCCATGTGGTAGTCACTGGGGATGCCTGATTCTTGTTTCAGAATGACACCAGAAGAAATAACATCAGTTTATATTGAAGAAGATGTCTTTTATCTAGGTGTCAGTGGTCCTCCCCTCTGAGAAGGTCCCTGTGATGCAGACTGGGGGTCTGGACCACAGCATGTTGAAATGACTGTGGCTGTTCTCTCAGTTTTGCTCTATTTTGTTGATGTTTTCTAGAGGCTGTTGCCTGGAACCTTTGCCCCCACAGCTCCACCTCTGTAACTACAGTCACAAAGTCATTTTGCCTGTGGGTTTTGTGGGGCCTCCATTGCAATTTCCCCAGATTGGCAGAGAAATAAAAAGGTATTGCTCTGTTCATAAGGCAGACTAGTCTGATTTGGATCCCATAAAAAACAATATGAAATCCAAAAATGTGATTTCTGTAGACATTCATCAGGCAAAGACTATGCTAAAAACTATTATATACCTTGGGATTTTCTACAGAGATTAAGGGGCTATATTAGTGACATAGAAACACAGACACTATATAACCTGTGTAAATGTGGCAATAAACTTCTTGATCTGAAAATGTATCTGCCAACAAAGGCAAAAAAGGCATCAGTATATCTTCTCATGGGCTGTCTTGCAACTATAGAATCTGTGGGCTCCTTTGTTCAGGCAAAACAGTTAAACTTCTTAGTTCCTCAAAGAAGACTGATCCTTATCTATTTATGTGTTTATTTTAATTATGCAGGAAACTTATTCAGTGCAGAAGTATGTAAAGCACCTTCAGGACACTCTGGATATTTTCTATGAAGAGGTAAGCTTTTAAGGTACTGTAGCAAGCTATGTTCCTGGCAAGCACACCGATGTTCTTCTCACCTCTGATTGATAGACTATCAGTGACTGTGTTTCATACAAGGTCATATTCCAAATAGCTGGAGCCAGACTCAGAGCTGCATTTCAACAACTGTGTTAGAAAATGCCCTGAGAAAGCGGGCTGCAGTTTCAGGAAAACTGTGTTTCACAGTATTTTTGCTGTGGACCAAACATAGCATGACCCTACTGCCAGTTCTGATAGCTAAACAAGGTTTCATTTACCCTAGGGAAAATGGAAATGCCCCAGGGACTGCAACAGTATTTCAACTAGTTTATACAAGCTGCTGGGATGTTTTTGGCTGACATCCACCATATGTCTCCCTCCCCCTATACACCATCCTTGCACATGCTATTGGTTGCACTCAGTGCATTTTGCTCTGACTCCCTGACCTATGGATGGCACTTCTTCCTCACTTTGTAGTGGTATCAAGTTCTGTGATTTGGTATGTCTGGTTCTTATAATCCCTGCAGCTGCCAAGAGTCTTTATCAACATGGTGGAGATACTAGAGATTTCTGGACTGCGTCAGATCGCAGCAAGCTCTTCAACATGTGCTTTGATAACAAAGTAAGTGAGCAAATCAGGTCTTTGCCTTTAAAGGGCTATTTTCTTGGATCAATCTAAATTGCTTCTACAGTAGGCATCCTCACCAAGCTTTCCACTCTACTTGCATTGCGGCCTTTACCTGATACACCAGTTCCCATCGACTTTCTATTCCTTCTTGCAACACTTCAGCTAAAAGGCATGTGCCTGTAGATAGCAGAATTATCACTTTTCTTCCCAGCTCTAAGGCAGCGTGTCACAGCACAAGTCACCATATAAGTGGTGTATTGCTGAGCTTCAAAGCCTTTTTTGTTCAGCCATTCACTGGTCAGCAGCACAGGCTGACATCCCTGATGCCTCTCCCTGTATTCAGTGCTGCATTACTTATGGCGCAGGCTGGACTGCGTACAGCAGAGTGCATGATCAGTAACTGCTTTTCACATCTAATAGAGGAGACAAAAATCTTAACTCAAAGAAGTTAGAGCAGAGACTTTACAGGAGTCAGCGTGGACATGAAGAGACTTTTTAGACTAGCAGAGAAAGGTATAACGAAGACCAGTGGTTGGAAGCTGATGCCTAATGAATTCAAATGAAGTTAGGACAGGTTTTTAATAATAGAAGTGATTAACTACTGGAACATATTAGAAGGGAAAATAATGGATTGACTGTCTTGCTTGATGGCGTCATATTCATTCCAAGCACATTCTTAGAGGATGCATTTCAGTGAAGCACAAGTTATTACCTCTCAATACGGGGACAACAGAATAAAACACAGTGGTCTAAGGGGTCAGACTACAGGAACGAATTGTCTTTACCTTTAAACCCTCAGATTTCTGAAAATCTGCTCTAAGTCTATATGTGGGATTTTTTTTTCTATTCTAACATATGTGGTTTCCTGATGATGTGTGGCATACTGAACATTTCTGTATTTGACTCACAAGTTGTGGATCCTGCAGTTCTTACCCAGTGTTCACTTTGAAAATGAAGTCAGTAGGGATTTTTGTCCACTTCTAAGCCAGAGAGGTGGCTTTTCCTTCTGCATGTGGGCTTGGAGCACCTATCCTGAGCTTCTTGAAGCAGGCACATATTGCTGAAGAGTTGAATGGACTATTCCAGATCAGCTTTTAATTCTAGTGTTTCTTTCATTGAAGGAATATTTGCCCGTGTGTTTTAAACCCCGAGGAAAATTCTTCTGAACTACAAGAAATTAAGATTGTTAACAGAGATTTTCAGGTAATACCTTGATTCTGTAACTGGCCACCTTCACTTTTATGTTGCTTCCCTTAGAAGCCCTTCCTCTCATGCATATCCTCAGTGGGACAGAGAGGGATAACCGGAAAACAGCTTGGCTACAGTCTACCCTACCCAGATAAGTGCTTAGCAGCAGGGCAAGTCTTTCCACACTGCCTTATGATTTGACCCCAGTTCTGTTTCCAGCTGCTGTTTCAACAGCTGAAAAGGAGTTACCGATGATGGCTGTTGTGTTGATGTGTTTGGCTGTTATGAATCTGATGAGTAGCTCACACAAATTAATATGTCGCTGCAAGGGTGACAAATTGTCTTGTATCAGCTGTTTTGTGGTAACTTAGCAGAAGAAATGAACTAAACCAACCTGATATTCTTTTCTTTTGCTGTAGGCTGAGAGCGTGCACACAGATAGCTTACCATGGGTCAGCTTGCTATCTGAGAGTAACCTTTCATAGCCTTGGGCATAAGATTCACTCAAAATTAACAAAGGCTATAAATAGCTACTGGAACAGAATGTTTTTCTGTCATTATTCCTATGAATACAGGAATCACTGTATCAGATCACATTATGTTCTCCAGCCTTCCATTCTGGCTCTGGCCAGCAGTGGAGGTTGTCCAATGAATCTGAAAGTGCTCAAAAACCCATCTTGAAAAATACTCACATAAACCTACTAGAGGGGACATTTCCATTTAACTAAGGAAGTGGGATTATGAATGTTTTGAAATGTGACCAAGAGCATTAGAGTTTATACCCATAAACTGGCAAGTAACAATCAGATGTTTTTATTATCTGTATGAATGTCTGTGGCCATAGTTTTCAAAAGTGGCAGGTAAGTTTTCAATGCTTAAGTTATATTTTACTTCAAGCATGCCCTTCTGAAGGCACCTTTCTGAAGTGCCCTTCAACCTCAAATTGTCATTCTGAATCAATTTATCACTTCTAAAAATTTTGGCCAAATTCCTTTTATTTAATTCTTTGTAAATTCTAATCTCACTATGAATGTGCAGCACTGATTTCTATAAGGTATGAATTACTTTCCTTTCATTAAACAACTTTACATTTCAAATTATCCTAACTTTTGTGCATTTTCGTTACGAAAATCTCTTCACGAACCAAGTTATTTTCTTAGCCATTTCCTGGACCTCTTTTAAAGCGGGCATTATACTAACAATTTATGGCTTCCTACATTGAAAGAATGCATGGCTTTAATAGCTGATAGATGTTAGAAGAACCTTATGTTTCAAATCATTAAACTCCGTACAGGCTGAAGCCTTACAGCTGATCAGCAGCGGTCGGTATGAAGAACGTGAGGACTTTGCAGTTGTCATGCAGCCGTTTTTCCGAAACACATTGTTGCCCCTGGATAGCGTAAGTCCTGTTTTAATTTCCCATTATTCAAGGACCAGTATCTTGACTTCTCTAAGTCACTAAGATTGATTCCACAAGGACTGTGTTTTCTTCTCTTTGCACAGTCTAGCGGCACAGGGTGGAACCTGCAATAAGTGACAGAGGGGAAAAGAGGAAAGGCTATGCTGTGAATCAAAAAGGCTTTAGGAAACATTGGTAGTGTGCACACATTAACCCTAAGCACACTCTGGCTTCCTCTAAACTGCATGTTGCTTTCCTGATTGGGGGCTTAGTTGGCATTCACACAATTTTTGTCTGATCTAGGTTATGGAATATGTTCAGGTTTCCTTCACACAGAGATCAGAACTTGCATACCTGGTTCATCCCAGCCTGGAAACAGGAAGCAGCCTTTGAAGCCAGTGATTCTCTCCATCCTTAGCATTACATATGCAGTGTAGTCAGGGATACAAATATTCAGTATGAATCCTGGTCAAAGGCACCCAGTTTTGCAGAACTATCATCCTTTCATCATATCATCCCCATTTTGTTCTGGCAGCCTTTAAAGTTCAAAGAATGGTCACTATACAGGTAGTGATGAGGCAAATTCTAAGACAGATACTTGCCACAGCTGGATAAGACCACAATTCTTAATGTTGCCTGAAATTCAGCAGAAATTTCAATGCCTGGAAGGTTGTGAGTCTGAGTCATAGAAGTCTAGCAAGCAAGAGTAAGCAGTTTTCTGTCAGTTCTGTACAAGGTGGAGTGTGGGTCAATGGCAGTGTCCATGTAAGAGCTGCCGCTCTTGGCTTAATGGGAAGTTTACGTCTGTTATGAAAACTGCTGTGTGAAGTTGAGCAGGCTGCTTTGCACAGAAGGTCTCAAGATGCAGTAATCAATGTGCGGTTAGGAGTACCTGAGTTTATTTGCAGTGTCTAAATATGAGCATATTGTCTTTAGGAAGATACCAAAATTGTGAAGTGGGAATGCCAAGTACAGTACGCTATTAAATACATAATGTTAGATCTCAAAGGTTGAAACATGCTGAGAAATACATTTTTGTTTGTATCACAGGATAGCAAGCCAGATATGAGATTCTTTGCTGCAGACTGCTTTCATTTCAGTGAAAGAGGTTATGCTGAGATGGCTATAGCTCTCTGGAATAATATGGTAAGAAGTTACAACCTAGGTCACCATGTATTTGTAGTAGCAGTCCCTCCAAATGACCATGAGAAAGGTGTCTGAAACAAAAAAGTATACAAGAAAAAGAACTGAGATCCTAATAAGAGAGGGCTGTTCAGCTCTGAGACCCTTCTCACTCTGCATTGCTTACAAACACAATCCAAAGTGATCATGGTACATAAAACTGTAAGTCTTTGCTCATTCAAAATAAGAAATCCTGAGAGTCTTAACGTAATGAAAAATCCTTTTCTGATTTGGTAAATAACCTGTATTAAAACAGTAAAACCCCGCCTAGTTAAACATTCAGTCCTGTAGGTTTCCTGAAAATATCTCTTGAATGAGCTTGCCCTTCTTGAGTGAATTCTGTTAGATTTATTAGAAGTGTGATTGAATTTTTGCTGCCATTTATAGTGTGGACATGTTATACCACCCACTCTAGTATCTGAGGCAATTCTGGTAGAGCCACTGAAACTAATGTAGGGCTGAAATCACACCGATGATGCCTCTGCTTGCAGTCACATCCCTTCTGTCATTTTGGGGGAAACGATAGCTTTTGAGTAATGCTGTAAGAGTTTGTAAAAGGCATGTGCTAGACTTGATAATTCTAAGGTCACAGTTGCTTTCAGAACCATGATGCTTCCCATGTTGGAAGGAAGACTATGCCATTTTCATGCCACAGCAACATTTCCTCCTCTTGTCTCAAAAACACTAGTGCCCAAACACATTGTGCTAGCAGAAATCCTGTATCCTGGTTTGTACAAGAAACAAGCATAAATGGAGGGGAATTTCTTTTCCATTTAAGTAAAAGTTTGAGCAAGATAACAAGCTTACAGGATACTCCAAAATGAGCTTGAGCACCAGGACTGGGTAATGCAGGGCAGAAATCTCTGCAGTTGCCCAGCATAGCATATGAGCATTAGGCGCAGGGTTATAAAAAGCAGTAGACGTACAGTGCACATACATGCTCCGAGTAATTGATTTGTGTGTGCACAGCAGATCTGCCTGTTTTCCATCAGGCTTCCTGTCTGGGACTCCAGATGATAGCAGTCTGGTAGGCTTCACTGTGCTTCACAGCTTGAACAGGGCTAATGGTGGCACAGAAACCCCAGGCAAATGTAGAAAACATTCAAATTGAGCATCGCTGCAGGTTTCAAGAACAAAAAGAGACAATACCTGGACATATGGTAGCCTTAAACTGGGTTTCTGTTGCCACATGGCATTCCTATTAGCCATTACTCATTTCTGAGTCACTGTCAGTCCTTTTAATGTGCCTCTGGAGTTTTATTCTGTCCAGACTGTCACTCATTTCCTACCTATGTAAAGTTATTGACACAAAGGTTTCTAACAGGGTGGCAGGGATCAGGTTCTTAGTGATGCTGAGATCAACTATTTCCTTCTATATAGATTTGTCAGTCTATGTCAGCTGAAGATTTTACTGTTTAAATCTAGTTCTTGTAACACGTCCCTGCTTTTGACTCTCAGTCCATGTACGGCAAGGCTATGCAAGCTTTTCCTGTAAGGCTGTATTGTTTCCCTGTTCCCTGAAAAGCTCAGCAGGCTGTAGGCTTATGGCCAAATGACATGGATTCTTGTCAGTACACATAAAGGGCCAGACTGTGCCTGGCCACTGCATGGGTATGCAGGCATGGGGATGGCTTAAGGAGCCTCTCGCTCACCTTAATGTTCTTTGCCCTTTTTGCTTTGTGCAAAGTGAAGCAAAACATGCTCCTGCTTTCTGAAGTCAGAAGATTCTGTAGTTTTAGGAGCCGCCACTGGTCCCAGATCCCTCTCATCAGTTCTCTGGCCCAGGAGAGAGCATATGGACAGTGTATTTAGATTGTTTGCCACATGCTTTTCATGAGCTGTGTGTTTCTTCCAGAAGCTGTTGGGTGCGCTTATGGACTTGGGGATACTGTCATCTTTTAAGTTCAGAGGCTAATGCTCCTGAGGAACAGATTGTATAGAGATGAAGCAAGCATGGCTGGCTACAGAATTTTGCACCTTATCATCCTTTGTCTGGGCTCTGTGCCAGACTCCTTACCGAGTACCCTGGCATGGGAAGTACTACAATTATCTACAAATAACCAGTTGTATGTCAGGCAGAATGCTATAGGATATGAGCCGTGCATCTTACAAATGACCACGTCAAGATTTGAGCTGTTCCCTTTAAGATGCAACGAAACTACCAAATTCAGTCTTCACAACATTAGCTGGCGGGCAGGCCAAGTGATTAGGATTCCATATGAGTCCAGCGGGACCCCATGACAATCAGCAAAACCTGGCATTGTTTTGCTTGTCATCTTCTCTCCACTTGGTAGCTTTCTT